ACCGGAAAATTTTTTGTGGGTGAGCTACTAACGTCATTTTTTGTGGGTGAGCTACTAACGTCCGTGTCCGTAGACCAGGGTTGGCAAAAACGATGTCAATGGACATTTTCCATTGGACCAATGGACATAGTCCATTGGTATCTGCTAAGCCACATTTTTGGTCCATTGGCCAACCCTGCCGTAGACGGTCCGAATATGATACACATGCCACAAAATTGTATCAGACATAAAAAGTAAATTTATTTTTTGTACGGTGATAATCGTGGCGTAATTACTTAATTAATGGTTACTTTGTACTTTAAATATGTTCTCGCTATTCCGTCACGTTACAAAGTTTTCTCGATCATCTTTTCCAAGGTTGCTTTTCGCAGGAACCAAAGGAACTAAGAGAGCTAAACCTAAGTTTGCGTCAGATTTTAACCAAGAGGATGCTCAACTACTGAAAGTGAGCTTCCAGCCGGCTTCTTTCGAAGATGTTATTCCCTCCTTAAAGGGCTCTGGTACGTTGTTTTGAATGCTTGTCTAGCGAAATGCTGACGTTTCAAATATCATGCATCACAGCTCCGGCAGAATATCTTCTTCCGGAAATCAATCGCCATAAAGTTGGACACCCAGATTTTCAGATTGACAAGCTCGAGAAGGTTTCGAATCGAGTCAAAACGTTCATAGATAAAATGCGTGATGTGGTGGAGAATGAAAAGGTAGCAACAGGTACAGACGAATCTAAAACTGACACATTGGTGGATGATCTGCTTCGTATCCCCGACTTGAATGTCTGGCCCTTAAAGATACTGTGAGTAATTATAAAAATGTTCTTTTTGGGAGTTACTTAATTTGCTAAAAGCTTGCGTTCTATCGAAATCCAGAAATCATTCGCTATGCAGAATAATCATTAAAGAAAAGCCTTATGTTTCAGCAGACCTCGAATTTGTGGTTGCTAATCGAAAATTAAATATGGTGGCTGTAGAGGTTTGAACATTTAATGCTTTTGATTATTTGTCAAACCCATCATATTCATTCTAAAAAAACTTTTAAACAGGATAAACATATTAAAAACATCTATTCGCCAAGTGGTTTTGGAGAAACACAAATTGCCGCTAATATTATTGCTTGTGGAGATGAGAATATACGTGCCACCGATAATGAGGAACCTATTGATGAGACCATATTCGCTATGCGCGTTCTTTCAACGTACGTGACATTTTATAAGGCAGAGATCCCTGCAAAATATTGGGCCGAACTTAGTCGTGGTTTACCAAAAACGGAAGTTATTGTTAAGAGATGGCCAGGAGAAAATGCTAAGCGGAAAGGTCTAGATTTAGTGGAACCAAACGGGAGAAAAGCAGTGCTAGACGCGTTAGCTAACATTCGTGAATTTCTTCTGCGCCACGAACAACCTGGTACGTGCACAATCAATGTTTAAATGATCTAAAACATGTAAGTGATTTTTTTAAAAAAAATAGAAAAGAGTGATGAAAATACACTGCCCGCATCAATGCTAAATGCATCGCTTAAAAAAGATGATGAATAATGCTAGAAAATACATGATCTGTAAGATTATTCATTTCCGTTGATTCCATATATCTCAACATTTACACTAATCATTTAAAAGTGCATTTGAAATAATTTGGGGTGTTTTCAGCCATGTACATAATACAATTATTGTGCATATATCTAGAATAGTTGGTTGGGGATAATATGTATTAGTGTAAACAAATGAAAAACTTGTGGTCTGCACTCTGAGTACCATTTCACTTCCTTTTAAAACAAATCTATATATTACTAAATCATGTAATCTTTTTTCTGCGTCAATAAAGCCATGTTTAACAGTGTAATCAGATTGTGATATTTTGTCATGGGTTATATCTATATTAACGAACTTTGAATTATTCCATTTTATATAAAAAAATTATGGGGAATTTACATATAAGGGCCCGAAAAATGAAAATAATTACAAATAAGGGCCCAAAGTGTAAATAATTACATATAA